GGACTAGAAGGACAAGGTTTAGGAAACAGCTCTGAAGACCCCCCTACAAAACTTTATATGGTTTTTAAAAATGTGCACAGCCCAAATGTTTTTGTTTTCCCTCAGTTCTTTCATTTTCACTAGATTTCACCTTTGCTAGTTGAAGCTGGTAACTGGGCTTGGCCAGCCACAAAGGTCATTGTCTCCAAGGTCTGTTGTGGTTTACAGACCAGCCACAGGGTTTTGGAGTTTGGGAATATGTGACTTTCCCCAGTGATTACTAATCCTAAAATTGTTCAAGCCCCTTTAGCCCCCATATCTAATACTGATTAGATATGGGGGCTAAGGGGGCTTGAACAAGCTTAGGACATAGGCTATTTTAGAGGCAAGACAAGTAATGAAGAAGTTACCCTAATCCTGATTAGCATATCACCAGTCCAATAGGAAAGCTATTAGTGGTAGCAGCTAAAACGGAGACTGGGAGACTGAGCAATAAAACCTCTTGTAATTTTTAAGACCCATTCCGGGAATACTGAGAATCATTAATACAAGAAATACTACTGTCTTCCCAATTTTGAGCCACTATCAAAACTTCTATACCTTGATGTACATATTGATTTTATTTCATCAGTGAAACACCAGCCTTCTCCATTACTCTGAACATTATATTTGGTCTTTTTGTACAGCTGCCATATTTTTATAATTTGTACCTCAATATTAATGCTAGACTGGTTGCCTGATCTTTAAATATACCGAAGAAAAATAAAAAGCAGCAACATGTGCACAAAAATGAGAAATAATTTACAGGTTGTACAAAGAAATCATTTGCATATGCTGTACAAGAGATCCTATTTATTTATGTTAGGTACACACAGTCCATTGAAATTAATGGACTCCAATGAAAGCATAAGGGTCTATTCACAAAGAATAACTTTCAGGTTTGGGGACTTAGTGACTTTTTATGGTGCATATACTTCCGCAATTTTCCGAGATGACCTCAGTTTTTTATGAATAATTAAGTTATTTTAAAGCTTACTATACAAAGGCAGTGTTTTTTAGTATTTGTGAACACACCTGCTGTGCTTGTTGATATACTTTCCCTTGTGCCATTCAGTAAAAGTCACCTATAAAGAATCACTGGCGAAAAAGATTATCCATAAGATAGGAAATATCTAGTGTAATATACATATCTGTAATAAGAAAGATTTGAGAAAGTATTGTGCAAGATATACAGTTTTTGCATCATAGTTATTTTTGAATGCTTTAGTTATATTACAATATTCCAAAGCAAAGGCACATTCAAGACCAGTGGCAGAGGCTTTTCAGTCGGGGTGCTTCAAGCACAATAAAAACAGTATATCACATATGAAATCAATAATATTACAGTACTAATGAAATATATGCCAGGGAATAATTACGCATTTTGGTTGTAAATGTAATGCATTCCTTTTTAAAAATGTGCATTTAACGTAACAGGTTAAAATGGATATTCTGGTAAATGTTACCACTGTCAACATTACACAGACACTAGAATGGAGTTTTGTAAGAGAAGATATTTTAAAATGGTAAATAATGTGGTTGAATTTGTCTTTACTAAATTTACCAGTCTAATATCCTGCTAAGTATTTTATTGAGTGATATGTTCTGTAGTTTTTACCCACGTGAGTAATACCATTGACTCTCAAAGGTAACACCTGCATTAAGAACTACATACCATACATAAAAGTTCCAGAACCAAACCCTCAAACAGAAGTAAACTTTAATTACCTCCTGTAAACTTTAGCATATGAAACTAGGTTGCCCACCATTTCTACCTTCTTTCCGTCTCCACACACCTAAGATACTTAATACAATCAACCATACGTGACAGATTTTACTGCTTTTGAAATTGAAGTAATTACATATTTTACACAGAATAAGATTAATTTATCAATACCAACATGAAAAAATATGTTCCATGTTTTAGGGGGCCATTTGCAAACTCAGAATTATTGCCATCACTCTCTTACAATTACCTTTTCATTAGTAATTTTTCCCTAAAAGGTTGGTTTTATCCCCCCCCCCAAAATGTATCTGACCTAATTTGAGGTTAAAATGGACAGAGCATCTGATACAAATAACCTCACTATGCATATTTTTCCAAACCTTTGTAACCATTCTCTCTAAAAATAAATGATTAAAAGAATGGCTAGAATATATTTACACCTGAACAATTAGTGCTGCCATTCAAGCAAATATTATCCTGCTCCTTACTCAGGTACAAACGATTTCACTCATTTTTTCGTTTCACACTATTGTTATGGTATCACAGTGTTTCAGAAAGTAATGGTAATTTCAAAATAAAACTTTTGTGTGCAATGATTGTTTACTGGATCACATCACATCTCTACCTAGTTGTAAACAACGGGTGTGTTCAACAGTGACACCACCAGTGCTTCCTGCTGCTATGTAGTTTCCCTGCTCACTGCACACAAAATTATTTTATTTTAAAATTGCTGATACTTTCTGAAACACCCTTAACAGATAACATTCATCTTTTAAAACCAAGCATATGCTATTCAACAGAAATGCGAAGTAAAGGATGCCACAGAGATGGACAAAGCATGAACCCAATGCTGCCCACATTTAAAAACAAGCAGTTTAACATGTATGAGTTGCCCATGGAAGCCCTAAAATATTATTACACATGCCACTTGTAAGGAACTGAGAAGTCATGCTCCAATAAAACAACTTTGACACTAAATTATGTGCTAAATCTTCAGCTGATCCAAGTTATGTAGCTAAGCTGTAAAGCAATGCTCTGGCCCCTATGTTGAAAAATATTTCTGCATTTTTACAAATGGAGTTCATTTTCATAGTACCTCTCTTTAAAAAGAAAGCTAAACAAAACCTTTCACATGTACTGAAAAGTGTTCAAAAACCCACAGATGGATTCTTATCCTCTATGCAGTCTATCAAATCAAATTAATTGGCTTATTAAAGACAGAACTATGGAGGCACTGTGTTCATTATGCCACATACTGACCATGAAAACTTTATTACAGGAAATATGGAGAAACAAAGATGCAAATGTTGAATGCATAGTGAATTGAATGTATACAGACCAATATTTACACATGAGTACTACAAGTTTACTTTTCCCTAATATTTTTATATAATAAAAATTTAATTGACTTCAAAACTCGAAAACATAACTGATATCAATACAATTTTCTGTGTCAAACTTACAGCAATGATTCATTTTGATAGCTTGGTATGTTTGCCAAAAATATGATCTCAAATTCAGAGGAATCAGATCTCAACTTCCCTGAACATTTTTTATATAAAAGTACTGTGTTTATTTCCTTTAACTTGCCAATAAAATAAGTCATTCATGTATAGACAGTGACTGATACTAGAGTTTAACCAACATACTGTGCACATGCTTTTAAACTGAAAATACTGGTAAGATATTTTCAAATATAATCTGCAAATATATAGATTGTACAGATGAAGCAGCACCAGGTAAATACAGTATATAAAAATCATGTATTTAATGAAGCATACATTTGTATTACAGGATACAATTATAGTTTTGCCAACAGGTTTCTGAATTAAAAATGTATTTTAAAGGAAATTTAAAATATATTACTGTCAGGTGATCCAAAGGATTTATAAAAAACAAAATCTACAACAGAAACAAACATAAATACCTGGGGATTTGTAACTTAAAGCCCTTATCTTTCAGTCTGATCTGCTATGACAGAGACACATGTTTGCACAGGGAAAAAAAACAATAGAGGTTTGCATAAGTCTTAGGCTCTGACTATGCAGGCCTAATCAGCTTTGCAAACTACTGCATAGGTGCATCTACTCATAGAGATCAGATTTCAGGATGCAGGACTTCAAATCAGCCACACCAATGTTCAAAGCAAACACTCTGGGTTGATTTATGCTACTGTAACTCAAGGGGGAAAGGACAAGATACAAAGATTTCTCAGTGTCTGACTGACAACTTCCCTCAAACTTTTTCCCTAAATTAAAAGTTGCATTTAAACCATACAGATAATGAGGATTTTTGTCTACATTGACCTTGAAAAACAGAACTGCAAATTGCAACCCACATTATAAAATACAATAAACTTCAAAGTGTTTCTGTAGAAATAAAAATATTAAAATAAATTTACTGAATTATGCTTATTCTTCACCTCTGTAAGTTATTGAAAAGGTGAGAAAGTGTCAGATATTTTGCTTTGATGTAACATGCTTAATATCAGTATTGTGCAAAATTGCAACTTAAGGATTATTTAGAATTTTGAAATCCCAACAAAATACAATTTTTTAAAGAGAAAAATACACTAAAATCATTTCACCTTTAAAAATGTTAGGAACTACTATTTGGTATGTTAAGCTTTGTTTTAAATCCATTCCATTTTTTACATTGAAATCTACTTTTCAAAATTGCAAATTGATTAAGTTTGGGTCTAAATTGATTTACAAATCATTGCATGTCAGTCAGCTCTGAATAATCACATTTATGTAACAGGCAAAAAAATCTGCTTAAAATCCTTGAACATTTTGCGTTCATTTCTTCATAATCTGTTCTCTGTTTAGCTACTCGCAGTGTGTGCATGCATACGTTTTGCTACATCATAGACGTAGGTTATGTCTGGTCGCTTCTCGGGATCTGGGTTGATGCACATATTAACTAATTGTCGCAGCTGGAAAAGGAAAATAATGTGTAAGAAGTCAACAAATATTAGCAGTTGAAAAAAGTGCTCTCTCACCTTCTTAAATAAATAAGACTGAAACTGTGAAAGCGTAGAACTGCATTCAGTTTTATAGTATATGGGACCTCTCTCTTCACTTTTACAATGTTTTAGAACCATGTTTTAGAGCAACCCTTTGGGCAGGTGTGCCACAATTTAGTGCTGCACCCTTCCCAAGTGCCACTCCAATCCTCTTCCCCTTGCTCTGCTTTCTGCTCCAAGTCTTGTGTTCCCTGCCTGCTCTGTTGCTCTGCTTTCTGCCCCATGCCCAATTTGCTGTGTTGTTTCCTGCTCCCTGAACTGTCTGCCGCTGTACTGCCTGTCTTCTCCTTAACCTGATGCATGCTGCTCACAGAGGCTGCCGTGACACCTATGCCGCAGGTTGGCAACCCTTGTTTTAGAGTAATGTCAAGAAAAAGTGGATAATATTTTGGTCTCAACTCTGCATGCTTGTGAATAAGTTTAGGTGTACATATCTAAATTGAATCATGGTAATGATTCCACATGTGTAAAAGGTTTGATGTGATAGCAACCCTTCAGTGGGTTTTGGATTCAGCATAATATTCTTTTAAGTGCACAACTTCTTGACAGAAACATACTCAAGAATGTTTCTATCTACTACTAGAGGAGTGGCCAACATGCAGTACATATGCCATAAGTGGCACAGAGGTGGCATGCAGTAGATCGGGGAGGGAGCAGGAAATACAAATAGGAAAGGAAGCAGAAAGCAAAGCAGCAGTTCTGGCAAGGAGTATAGGGCAGGAAGCAAAAGGAATGCAGCACATCAGGTAGGGGAAGAGGATCAATGTAGCACTGAGAAAGCGTGCAACTAATTTGTGGCAGGCCTGCCATAAATGATTGCTCCTCCCTGCCCACCCCCCCATACTAGTGCATGTTTTTATCATTAGACTACGCATCATGTTCATATAATTCTGTCAATTCACTGGTCTTTCAGAGATCACAAATTTAGAAGAAGGCATTCAGGAGAAAAGTTACCAGACTTTTTAACTACCTCCTGTTACCTTTTGGGGAATAAGAAAAACTTAGGATTTTTGTCCTCTGCTCAACAGCAAATATAGCAAAACCTTGGTACCATGATTCTTCAAAGGCACAACAGGCTGCATATTCAAATCTGCCTTCAAGTAGCAGTGGCCCAAACAATGCATAAATCACAGTAATACAAGCTATATTTCTGTACAGTTAAGACTACAAATTCAAATACTTGCATATCAGAAAACTTAGAAGTTGCCTGAACAATACTGCTTGTATTCTCCTGTAAAACATTTTTCCCATTTATGTGCTTTGCACATTCAGAGTCAGCCTTTATATTGCATGTAATTTTTTGCAATGAATCTACACAATCTACAGAAGGCTGATTTCATTTCTTCAATAGGGGGTTTCAATATTTTATTAAATGCAGATGTTTTTGAGTAGTACAGTTACTTCACTGTTGAAAAGGTAGCAATTTCATTTAAGGATAAAAGGATTTTCAATTTAAAGAAATTGTAATAGATTTGATATTAGAATCCTTTAAATATGTTACACTAATCATAGGAATTTAAGATAAATTATATTGCTTTTAACAGCCAATATATAAAAACCTGTTTCATTGACAGAAGCGAATAATGAGCTAGATCAGTGGTTTTCAACATTTTTTCATTTGTGGACCCCTAAAAAATTTCAAATGGAGGTGTGGACCCCTCTGAATTGCAAGTGTGCGTACTCGCATACTTTTGATTGATCATAGTTATCTTTCATGGACCCCTTAGACATAGTCTGCAGACCTCCAGGGGTCTGCGGACCACAGGTTGAGAACCACTGGGCTAGATCATTTGGAAGGGAGAGTGATGATGTTAAAAATATGTCTAATAAATAAAAAACTGTTATTTTTCAATACAAATTATGTGATGAAATAGATCTTCAATCCTGCATAAAATAAGTAGGAGGCTGAAAGAGAGGACAGATATATCAATAAACTCAAAAGCAGCTGCACAGCAACTGGGATGTCTTATATATGACACTGAAAATAGTAGGAAAGTCCAGAGTCCCAATTCTGCAGAATCTTGAGAACTGACCCCTACTTTTGAAAAAGAGAGAGATATAAAATTGAATCTCTCCCAAATTTGGCTGTGGTCCCATAGAGACTCATATACATGTACTTACTCTGTGCCTGTGAGAAGGCAACTGGATTGCTCAGTGCATAAAAGTCATGCTAAGATCCTTGCAGAACTAAAACTTATAGCCATAGGTAGAGGAATGAAAAATACTGCACAACACACCTGAACTGAGTCTTCAAAAAGATTTAAAATATGAACATGATAGGGTGCTTTGCTCAGACAGGTCATTCTGTGCCATGTCTTATGATGCCCACTACAATTGGAAGTGACATTCACAGAAACTGACAAATGGATGATAAAAGCTGCTACTACAGACCCACAATCTTTGAATGACTCGGTGATCTTCCCCTCAAATTGAACATCTATTCCCCTGCAAGTGCATATTTCAGCCCCAAAATCTTGGTCTAGTGGTTGTATTTACCAAATTGCACTATGGAAATACCACTAAGAAGTGAATTCTCTGATTCCTTGAAGCTTTGTATCAAGGTGTTGACAGAAGTTAACTGAAAAAAATTAAAATGACAAATGTCCTTTGAAACATTCCAAAAGCAGATGCAGCACTCCAAAATAGTACCTCTTTAAATGATGTACCATTGTGAAGCATTTCTTGTTATATGAAAGGGGCATCATAGGTCTTCCAAAATCCCATAGTGCTCTGCTCTCCCTTCCCCCACCTCCACAGGGAGGTGTCACCCAGTCGCAGGCTGAGTGACAGCAGACAAGCCAGCAGAACTTGACAGTATGACTCCCAACCCCAAACTGCTTTCTCTTCTCTCCTCCCTCTCATCAGAGCAGAGATATAGAAGGGACTGGAGTTGAAAAACCCAGTCATGTTGTTGGGTCCCTTGGTGCTGAGGATCCCATGTCCTACGACTGCATCAGCACTCAGGGACCCAGTGATAATGTTGGATTTTTTTACCACAGTTCCCTCTAACTCTGCTCTGATGAGAGGGAGGAAAGGAAAAAAGTTGATTGGAGCTTAAGAGTCATAATCGGGGTGATGGACAGCCAGTGAACCTCCACTGCCTCCCCCGTACTCACTCATAGACATTCTCCACTCCCTCTAGTGCCCCTGGGCTGGAAAGTGTTTTGAAATGTTCCAACAAGGGGCACCACATGGGCTGGCTGAAATGTTCCCTTTTGAAGCATTTCCCAGGCCATTTCAGTTAAAAATGTTTCAGTTGTTACTTCTGTCTACACCCTCAGTCTTCTGAGAGGCATGGAGTCAGGAGTCATGTTGGACTCTTTTATACAGTACTCTGCTTCTTTACATACATTAAGGAGTATCTATTTCTCTAAGAGGCTTCTTTATCAAATACCTCTGATGCATGCAACATTACAGATGAGCAGAATTTGAGAATCCCCTTGGAACAGACAATGGGATACCAGTGTTAGTAGGCTATGGTGAAAGAAAACTGATGTTCCCTATCTAGCATGGTCTAGCTAAAAAGCTATGCACTGAAAGACTAGAGTTGTGACTGAGCTGGAAGGGCCTCCCATTTCATCCCCAAATTATGCCATTCTTTGGCTCTTTCCTTAACCTCCTTTATGTTTTTAGTACAATGACTATCTTCAGCCTGGAGCTTAGCCTGATACAGGAGCAGCAGGACACATTTTCTTTAACTGTAACAGGTTTGTCAGTCACCAAATAAATGTGTCCCTGAAGTCATAAAAAACCCCAAACCACTAAACCACGAATGGCAAGAACTCTGCACTGTTAGCCAGGTGAAAAACTAGAAATGTTGTTAAAGATTCCAGTTTAAAAAAAAACTGTAGTTGTTCAAAGTGAAGAGACCCTTGTTGCTTGCTTTCTTCATCTAGACAGGAAAGTCAGCAGAGAATACATTACCAATCTAAATCTGCTGGCCATTTTTTGGCCTAAATATTTCTAGTGATTGTACAAAATCTCTTTAAAACCTCTGTACTTTTGAGAAATTACAAAGCACCCAAATCATGATACATAAAGGGATGTGATAAATGCAATGGCCAATATCTTAAAATAGTTATTTTGGAGAGGGACAGAAACTACACAAAGTGGTATAAGTGGTAGTCTCAAATGATAAGAGACAAACAATCTGAATATTACCTATATTTCTTATTTTGTATAGTAGCCAGAGACCACTTTAATACTAACAGCTCAAATACCATAATAATGAGCACATTTCTCTCTTTTACATGACCATTTTCATGTGAAAGCATAAATGAAGAACGTCAGAATTGCTATATTGTGTCAGCCCAAAGTCTAGCCTAATATCCTGTTTCTAAGGGTAGGGACAGAAATTACTGGCATAAGTGATTGGGAACCAGTTCAAATCTGTAACACAACAGAAGTTCAGTGTACATAAACCTCTTTCAAAATGTGTGAAACTGGTTTAAGATAAACCTGGATGGATATAGTATCAGACTTGAACTTCTGTCCCACATCACCTCACAGTCCCCAGCATCCCAGGATTCCTTGTACCTCTCCTGCAAGCCCCCCCTTGCAGGGTGGGTGGACTAGCCTTGGCCCAAGCTGTCTGCTCCAGCTGATGAGGGAGGCATTTTCTATCACCCCCCGGCTTCTGTCTTGGGCCACTGCAGGTGTGTAGCTGAATTTCTGGAATCAAAAGTGAATGTCTGTTCACTTGTTTATAGGTTTGTAACAGGGGGCTTCCTCGGGGCCAGTCTACCAATGGCCCGCCCACCTGTTTCTGGGCCAACCGCCCGCCTTCTTTCCTGCCATGCCTTGATGATATATAATTATGGTATTAATTAGGCAGGAGGCTGCCCATTTTTTTGCCCTGATGGGGCGCTATCTGCGGCTCCATTCCCCTTCTACACCGCAGCCCAAGCCTCACAGATGGCATCCACTATTCTTAACATCACCAGCCCCACACTGGGCCCCAGAATCCTCCATTCTAAACCCCCAACTAGATCCCTCCAATCAGGCAGTCTAATCTGCCCTCATTCTGGGCTGCCTAGCTCCCTGAACTATTCCCCCTCTTGGGCGTGGTCCCCCTGAGACCTCTGGCCACAGGCCCTGGCCTCGCCTCTAAGGCCAGTCAAAAGCCCCAGGCCCTCAGCTCAGGTGTCCTTCGTGGTGGGCCCTGGCCCCTTTGACCCTTCCAGTCCTGGCCCCAGCATTGACCAGTTAAGGGATTTCAAGTCAGGTCTCTGGCCCTGTAGCCCCCTCTCTAACTTGGGTCTGCCTTCTTGACCCTTCTATGGGGTAACCCACCCAGCTGTGGGAACTGGAGTTATTAAGGCGCCCCAACGTGCCTTTCACCGGGGTGGTAACTGGCCTGGCATTTCCTGGAGGCTCCCGCACCACTGGGAGCCCCACCAGGCCACCCACTCCCGGCAGGATGTAGTTTTAGGTTATGCCTAGGACCAGGGGCCTGGTTATTCCCTACAGCTCCTGCCTTTACCTCCAGGTGTTGTATGTAGCCAGGTGATGTTTCTGCCTAGTCTGCCAGCAGCAAACTGCTGTGTTTATATAGGCGGCCAGAGATCTAAAATGGCCGCTGCCATCAAGCACCTGCTGGCTGCTTGGCTCAGCCCTTAAAGTGGCAGGCACCAGCGGTGTCCTGCCACAAGGTTGAATCTACGCAGTTTAGACTAACCTGTGAAGAGTGAATCAATAATGATTGATTGAGCTTTGGGCTTTTTGGCTGTCTGTACTCAGCCCTTGAGTCTATTGACTGTGATGATCTACCTAGATATTCCTTAATGGGACCTAATTTTTACCAAGCACCTGCTCCATGAAAACCTGGGCTCCTGAATCAAATGCTGGGGCAATATGTTATAACTTTACTAGAAGTTTACTGGTCAGCACTTTATAGTTCTGGGAGGTTGAGGCAGACGGAAGTGGACATCACGCTATAAGTTTGGGGGTAAATTTCCATCACGTTTTCTCATGTCAAATACAATATACTATAATAAAAAGTTAGACCTGCAACAAGTTAATTCAATTATCAGATAACATAATTTTACATGCCAGTTGTACCTCAGAACTAATTAAAATTAGCATTCAGGAAGTTTTTCTAAACAGATCTGCATTATGTAAATAAAGTCTGAAAGGATGCAGGAATCAATGTATAGTGAGTTTTTTCTTTCATTAAATTAATTCTCAGAGAATATCAGCATTCAGGTAGGTTTCAGTGGGTACGTCTGCACAAGATGCTGACTGAGTAGCAGCCGAATATTACCACGCAGTAGCGCATCACAGCACTAACAGTGCTAATATCTACTGTGTGTTAGTATTAGGCTACTGCGCAGTAGCGTGACTTAAAAGACATTCGCCAGCACTACTGCATAGTAACTCCGGTTACTGTGTGTTTATTTAGTACTTGCCTACACAAGTACTAAATGTGTGGAAATCACTATGCAGTAGCATCTTATGTAAACGTACCCAGTGATACCTGAACTTTACTGATGAGTTGAGTGTACTTCCAACCTGGACAAAGTTTGAGATCTACATTTTCTAGTTTCCAATGTATACAGTACTATTGTGCTCTGACACATAGTTTGTCTCTTCATTAGCAGTTCCAAAACTGCACAATATTTTCATTCAACTTAAAAAAATATATTTTGGGGGACATAACACCTATTTTTCAAAATATTTTATAACAGATATGAATCTTTATGTTAGGATAGATCAAAGCAACACAACTGCATTCTCTATTAATACTTGATAGCTAACTTTTTTGCTAATGAATTATTTCCATGTTATAAAGGATACTGGAGTTCTTGCTCTCTTACTGTATCACAAAAGTAGTCCGAAATATATATATATATATATTTTAACTGAAGTGTCTGAGCATACTCTGTTTAGAAATGAAGAAAATATAACATGTTTTGTTTTGTATCTGCTTTCAAAACTAGAAACTATACAGAGGTAAGTAAAAGTGAAATCTATTTCCCTTTCCCAACTCTAAGACCTTCTATCTGGGCCAGACTTTGATATTTGCCCCTTGGCTGAGAATCCGCATATCCAACTTCACACTTAGCTGCAGTGAAGTAGCCCTGCAGGCAGGCCGACTTCAACGAACCACTAGTGGTATCATCATTAAAATCCTGCTGAAGGTCACCATGGTAACCGCCTGCTGAGGCTTCGCTGCTACACTCGGCATCTCCTAATCAGCTACCATGTGAAATGCAAATTCAGACAGTCTGAAAATTAGTCAAGAAGAATAGAGGATGAGGATGCAGATATGTGAAATATTCATGCGCTTCATGGAAAAAGGAAGACAGCATGAATGACACAACAAAGAACGGCCCCTGACATTCTTGCTATCATTTTGCATTATTGTTCACACCCTACTGTATTTCTAGGCCTGCAGTTCTGAAGTTGGTTATATGAACTGCCATATTTGTATTCTATAAAAAATAATAATTAAAAGTGGCCATTGTAAAACAATTAATTGGAAAGCCACAGAAAGAGATATGCTGCCCAAACTAGATCGAGCATCATTAAACCCTTCAGAAAAGTCATTTATTTAGCCTTTTTAAGTTTGGTTTTTATTTCAGAGAGGAAAAAAATGTCACCATAAATGTGACAAAACAAAAAACTGGACAGCAATCTTTTATTAATAGCCCCACCACTGTCTTTGAAAACAATAGATTCAGGATTCAGATTACAACTTTCATTCCATAAACAAAGTTGCACAAAGCTTTATGTTTATTAAAATATTTCAGATATAATGTTTATATGAATTTCCAACACAATGTTTAATTCATGGAACTGAATTAAATTAGAATTGGTTGCTAATCTCTCTCCCTGGGTTTGCCGCTTGTATCGCTTTGCCCCCTTCCTTTCAAAGTGGGAAAGTATTTCAAAACTAGCACTTCAGTACATTAACAAGCAAGCATTTATATTTTTCTCATCCTATTACGTTGGTCCTGGAAAAAAATGTTTACAGCTATTTTATTCCCTTTTTCCCCCCCATCTAATTTATTCCCACCCCCTCGCCCCCCGCCTCCCCAATGTCCCCACCCGCCAAAACATTGATGCATTAATGACAGTAAATAAAACTATTAGCATGGAATCAAGGCAGGTACTTTGGGGGCATATGCATCTCAAATTAGCTCTGAGTATTGCCCTATAATCCTAATCTGCAAATCTTCTGTGACTACAGCTATGGGCCATTAAAATTTGGAATGTGTCAAATGTGCCAAACTGATATTTTTATAATGTAGATACAAATGGAGTCAAAACAACTCTGAGAGCTAGAGTGCTGGATTTTAATCTCATATAGATGACTATGGAAGAAGGGCTACTGCATCAATTTATTGTCATGAATAACCTCATATAGTTGAGCTTTTAGAAATACATAATATAGATATACAGTTCAATACCACTACAACACGCAGCAGAACTCATTGTGCTGTTTGGAAAAGCACCCTTTATCATACTTGTTAGAAAGCTTTAAAAAAAAAAAAAAAAATATATATATATATATATATGGTGAACATATATATATCTGCTGCATGTTGTAATGGGGTGCATTGTATACACATACAACCCCCCCATTACAACATGAACACACACACACACTCGTTCACCATGCAATAGAGAGAACTATGGTCCCTTGATTAACAATTCAAACAAATTAGAAAATACTGGATGTTCCAGCCATTAAATCCAATGATTTAAAAATGACCAGAAATGGCATTCTAGACTAACATTTAGGCAAGCTGAACAAAATTCACAGGACCAGCTCCTCAGGTGACATAACTCAGTACAGATCTACCAACTTACTGAACCTATAGAATGACTGTATAAAATATGGATTTGTTCACAGAAAGGAAAATTACTTACTTCCTCTGAATAGTGATCTGAAGGGAGAGGTGGATAGTCACACTGTTCTATTTTCTTGCACAAGGAGTACAAGTTCATTTTGTCACCATAAAAGGGACTCTGCAGAGCAGCCATCTGTTTAAAAAATATTAAGATGTCCATTCATTTTTTTTAAAACATTTCTTTAGAAAAAATCTATTTTAGCATTACATTTGAAGCATTTTTATAGCTACAATAACTTATATTTGTAGTGTAAAACTTCACATAAATCAGTTCACTTATTTAAATGTTCTGATCCTGATCACAGTACCGATACTGTAATAATTGGTATCTATTTCACAATATAGTTTTACTTGTTTTTTCTTACTAGATTATTAGTCCACTAGACTAACAAGCAAAACCTTTTTCTGTTTATGTTAAGTATTCTTGCCCCACAGCAAAAGAGATGAAAGAAAACATTTTCCCTAAAAGACCTGTTGAAAACAACTGCACATCTTACTTATTTGAATATAAATTTGATCTAATGCAATTATCTGTATTTAAGATGTTGGGTTGCAGCATTAGCTTTTATACTTGCATTTAAATACTGAATTATGGTTTAAAAAGTAAAGGTTAAGAAAACTAGAGAGAATACTATCGTATTATTTCAGTTAGTTTAAAAAAAAAAAAATGTAGTCTCAGTTCCATATGGAATTCCGTGATCTATTCCAAAAATCTGTCCAAACTATATTAAAAGTATAGTCTCTAATAGTAGCTCACAATTCCTTTAAAAAAAACCCCAAACAAATCTCAGGTCTGTGAGCATCAGTACAATTTCCATGTGAAACTAAGAACTATAAGTATCTCTGTCTGAGAAAGAATGTTAAAGAAATGGGCAACTGAAAAATGACATTAGTGAACCCACCCATTTAAAGCTATGGTGAAACAGAATATTTAAAGTGCAAACAAATTATTGTGGCTAGTGGGATTATACATTTTAAAAATTCATTTAAAATCTCTGCATTCAGTTTGAAACCTTCTTAATCTTTGAACCACAACAGTATGAATACTGCTCTGAGTGCAATGCTGCCCCAAAGTCAGTCACCCTTTTCTACATGTGCTAATAAGTTTGATTTTGGAAGGACAATGTGTACATTCCCCAGACAGGCAGAGTATGTGTGAAACACGCTAGTCCATGCTGTGCTACTCAGTGAGCTTCAGCAGGGACAGGACAAGCTGAAAATGGCTCTCATCTGTCTTATAGTCTTCCAGATATAACTTTAACTCTTTCATGGTTTAAGCACTGTTGATATTATGATGGAAACATATGAAAGAAAAATAATCAAAAATGTATTTTATCAACATCTGCATTAAAATGGATATAAAAATCCTTCAAATAGTTTGGTATATTATTTTAATACTAACTTGAAATAAAAATAACATATGTTAAAGGTCCCACTACACATATAATAGTGCACTCCCACAAATCATTCTAGAGCTACATTACACTGATAATGGTAATGCCTATATTCACATGACAGTAATTTCCTACTTTATTTTAAAAAGAAAATGTTAAAATGCAGAATAAAGAATAAAAATCAACTACAAAATCTACATGCCAGCGGAAAGTCTAAATAAATGCACAGAACTCATTTTCTTACACTAGGTATTCATTAAAAAGTACTTTTGTTTGAATGCTGCAGAGTGTTAAAAAAAATTCTGAATGTCCCCTAAGGAGTTAAAACAGGAATACTATATTTTCATGCATCTCCTGCTTTGACAGATGAAAAATGTCAACTGTCCTGTTTTTATTTTCAAGCTTTTGCACTATTCATCTGGTTCATTAGTGCATCTCGCTGCTGCCCCTGACAGCTGCTCGCCCTCTCCTCCCAGCAGCTGAATTTTTCAGGCTAATTTGATCCTCCACACTGAGACGATCGCTAGAATGATTGACTTGCTCCCTGACCTCCAGGGTCTGACTTTCCTGATTAGTATTCTGGGGGTGTCTGAGGGACGAAAGCCCACTGTCTGTCTTCGGGGCTGGTGGCAGCTCTCTCTCTATCTTTTTTTTTTTTGAACTGTAAGCCACCAACCTACAACCCTGTAAGGATGCAATTGCTACGCTGAACAATAAAAGGGAATGTGTAAAACCTACTTTTCCATGTAAAGGTCCATGTAGCAAAAGCACAGCATCTTGATTTTAATTAGTAAAGTCTACTTTGTTGCATATCAATTAAAATTCCAGTGGCAGTATTTTTCAGTTTCAGGAATACATGAAAGTCCAAAACATACCTAAAAAAAAATCTTAGTAGCCATGCAATTTTTATATTTAGTAAAATGTAAACAGATTACAGAATAATAATATAAGTATATATTAACTTTAGTTAATATTTAAAAAATTAAAAAATGAAGTTACATTAATGCATAAAATTTAATGTCAATTACATCTTTATTGAGAGGTCATGAATATGCTATCTTCCCCCCACCCCCAACTAAACTGAAAAGGATCCAAAAATGTATTCCAATAGATCTTAGCCAAAAGGCTGAGAATTAAACATAAAATTAATACAATACGTGCTTTAAAATGCAAATTATACGCAAAATATGTTGCACAAAGAGGCAGAGGGAATGAGATAGAGTTACCTTTAAACCCAATTTTATTTTAAAGGAAGTTTCAATTTCAGCATGCAACAAGCTTAAACAATGGTTAAGCACCCCTAATAAAGAAAGTAAACTTGAAGAGCTGAAGAGATAGGTAACAGTTATTATTAAACTCCTTTAGTCTTCATATTTATTTTACAGTATAGAACAGACTGAACGGTGTTAATTTGGAGAATTCTGCTTAGAGGAAAATGTAAAATTGCAATTATATTAAAAACAGGAAAATGCTAATTATTAGCCCATAACTTGAGAGATTCTCAAGCCCCCCCCCATAAATAAGGAACAAAATTATAATCAATCAACACATTATAACCAGTCTAGCATGCTCAATGTATCAAAAGCATAATATAACTGCAAAAAAGCAGCATAACATGTTACAAAACTAAGCTACATTTTGAAGATTTTTAGATGCATTTAAATATGTATTTTATAATTGCAGTAGAAGAAATCTAACAATTTTTCCATTCTCTCCATATCTTATTTAAATACTAATTCAGTATTTAAACTTTTTAAGCTACTGAAAATAATCTAGTGCCATATGGAAACTCTAATAATCACTGGAATAAAAATATTCAAAAGGAGGCATTTCCTAGCTTATTAGAGATGAAGATACAGCTTCTCTTTCAACAAGACCACAGCCTGGTATCTATTTTATGGAAATAATCTTCAAACAGGATTCACAATAATAACTTTGAAGTAGCCACCCTAAAAATATAAAAACCCCAAATGCATATACCGTATTATATACAGTGCATACAGTACCAACAGGCCTATTTAGGGACAAGAGTTTTTGTGAGCAATAAATCACATTGATTCCAACGTGGTAACTTTTTGTTCTGGATTATAAATTAATTTCAAAGCCCAATTAATGGTAATTATTTATTCAATATTTTTATTATTTATCTATAAGGTTTTTTTTAAGTTTCCAAAAGTTACCAGGAAAGCTAATGACATCAGAATATTCTCAAGGCCCTCATCCTGCAATGGGATTTCCTATTGTTTACACTTGTATTTGTGTAAACACTTTCATCTCTGTACTGAATATATACAGTGAACAGTGATAGGGGATAGGATAGTGATCCTGTTTCAGATGTATGTTTCAAATGCTATCACATGTGATATATTTACTCCTGTGAACAGTCCCAGTGACAGAACAATAACATTGTGTGATGACTTGAAATCTATGGGGCAAGAGCACAGCTTATTTGCACTGAGTTCTTCATAATAATGGCAATGAATTAATCAACCAAAAACATAAAAGATATTTAATACAAAAAGAGTGAAGTAAGTTCCCTTGAAGTCATATACTGTATATAGCTGTAACAGACTAAAAGTATTTCCTGCAGTATCCTACCTTACTCACAGGTGTTGATCCTTCTGGAAAACTTTAAGTGAGACTGCTGAATCACTGAGGCAGGTAGTGTATTACCTCAACCTGAATCTACACAGAGTGGATTTTGGATTTTTGGTTGGGCACCCTAAAGTAGGAAAGCCTAAGAAGCAACTCTGCTTCCTGAACGGACTCGGTTGAAATTCTCTTACTGTTAACATTTTGACCAGCCAAACTGAACACCAGCCTGGGGATAAGTTTTGATTCTAAATATGGGAAGGTTTATTTTGAGGCACAAGGCAAAGAGATGTAGTTGCTTTCAGTGATATAGCAGGCAAGGTTTTTCTTCTTATTATAAGTTTTTATTTGCAGATCTACAAAAAATACGCTGCAAAGACTGAGGATGTAGTTGCCTTGGGAGCCAATCTTGCAAGCCTCTCTCATTAGATTAAATTGAAGCATGTTCTGTTTTTACTTTGTCATCTCATTAAAAACATGTGAGTTTCCTAACTTGCATCTCCATTGTAGAATTAAAAAATTGACTAATTGCACCAGTTTTAAGCAAGGAAAACTCAAAACAAGATAGTAATTTTAACCTGTGCAATAAAACTAAGCTATAAAAATTAAACCAGTGAAACTTTTATGTATTGCAGTTTGATTTTTTTTTATCACTGAAGCTAGATTTCAGAACATTTGAAATGAACGAAATATACAAAAATAGCATTAACATTAATTAGCTGCACACACAACTATCAGTTATATTACATATTCATTTAATATATACATTGTTTTCAAAATGAGTTTAACTAAAACTAGTTAAAATGTGTGGAGGATATTAGCTTTTCATTACCCAGTCAAGTCTATGATCCTTACAGAATTAAGTCTGAAGACCTGATATTCAACAAATTACTGTCAACCTCTTCAGAAAGTTCACTAAAAGGCAAGTCTTGAGCAGGTCATTTATAATGCATCTTGTATTTCAAAATTATTGCAAGAGCTCACAATGTTGAATATAAAAATAAGGTTATCTATACTTCTGCATGACTTAAAACCAACTTCTCAATAAGAAGCAAAATTTATAGATTATAGAAAAATACCTGATACATTTTATAAACCAAAAGTACATGAACATATTAAGCTTACTGGATTTATCTATGTTACCTCATACAGCAGACAGCCTAGAGACCAGATGTCAGATTTGAAGTTGTATCCATTTTCATGTATTCTCTCAGGAGACATGTAATAAGGTGTACCCACTGCAATAAACGTAGAAGCATTTTTTGAATGAAAAAAATAGTTATGCTGAAATGCCATGCAATTGTAAATGTTAGATGGTTTTTAAAATTCTGTATCTTTATATACATGAATACTAATGATACAATTGATTTTTTTTTAATTGAAGATGAAGATAATGTAACTGAAGTGATAAAGACCAACAAAAATGTAGCCATTTCAATGAAGTGTTGAAAGACAATCTCTAATTTAAAAACTGTAAACAAATTGAAATCTGCTTATTTAAATAGCTTCCAAATTGCAAACTTTCACAAAATAGATATGAGATCTCTCTAAACTTTTTATCTTCAATAAAACATTTCTTCCCTTTTTAAATGCCTATAAATTAGAACTGGCTGAAATTACAACATTCTAAAAACTATTCTATTTTGAGATGAAAAACAACGTTTTTTAAAAGGTCCAGAAATATTTTTTCCCTTTTTTCCTAAAATAAAACCACATACACTTATAAAGACAACTGACACATTTTGCTATGGCGATCTGAAAACAAAATCAAGCCTCTGATAGGAAGGCAAGGATCTTGGAGTTTGGTAGCCAGGACTTACAGGCTCCACAACAAGGGTCTGCAAGCCCTGAAAGCCCCCAAATTACAGGGGATTTTATGGGCATCTGCTGCAGAGCTGGAGTTTCTAGTCACCCCACCTTTATAGCAGACTTGGGGTAATCCATAAGGCAGATCTGACTCAGTCACAGATCCTGGAGTTCCCAGTCCTGGAGCAGTCTTCTAGAGACCTTAAACAGCCACTCAGATTTCATTAAAAACAGCCAGAAGTTTATCAAAATAGATATATAGATATATATATATTTCCATGAAACTCTTCCATTTTGATGATACCACATTTTCTGATGAAAACTCCTTTCTTTAAAAATATCTAATTAACTCTTTTTCAAAATGCAGTATTGCCTGAAGGGTAATGATCAAAAGAAAAGTTAAAGAAAAATATTCCTTATCCCTCTGTAAAATTGGTCGGGTAAATTAATACAGTCAAACTCAGCCAGCAAAAGACACAAATGTCCACTCATTTTTATTTGAATTTTGCTGGAATGCTTACTAAAATATTCAAACTTGTATAAGTAAGTTGCACGTTCAATTAATCAAGCCCATTACAGCATATGTATCTGATAAATCAGTAGATAATATAAATTGGTATATCAAATAACAGTAACATTAGACTTAAAATTCAGACTATCCACTTGAACTTCTTGGGGAACACATATTACAAGAAAAATATTTAATTGGCTTCTGCATTTCTGAACTAGAATTTTGTTGAAACACAAATTATCAGTACAAATTTTGGAAATGGGATACAGATATAATATGGACCACTGCAAGTTTGAAGAAAAAGCATTTGAATAATCAAGGCTTATTGTATAGTTTAAAGGCAGAATTTTTTGCTTTTACAGAGTGCACAAGCTCACTCAATATTTTTATCGAATCATTTCCAAATGTGTGAACTTTTGTTTTATTTTATTGTGCTTGCCCTGATGATACACCATGTATTTTGTAAGGGTCCTCAAAGTAAATCATAGTTTTTTTTTCAGAAACAGAGGAAAGCATTTCTAGGATTTCTAAAGGTATAAATTCTAATTCTCAAATTAGAGATATGTCAGTACTATCTTACCACAGTCAGGCCATGGCTGCTGTAATTCATGGTTTTGACAAGGGTGGAAATACAACTTTGAGAACAACACCAATAATCACAAAATAGATCAGAACCGACAGAAAACAAACACAACCTTTTTCCAGATACACAGAGACACAGGCCATATGTCGTCTCTCAGTGAGGATCTGGCCCTGTAAGTATTTAAAAAGGAACTTTAAGTTTCAAGAATAGGTGGGTGTTGGCTCATGCTCCACAAAATACCTTTTAGCATTGGCCTGAATATGGGATCATCACAGCTGTCAACTGCAAAAAAGATCAAGAGTTTAAAATGGGTAGGGAGGTGAAAAACAGCATCTCAAAATGATGGAGTAGTGTGAAAACCACTGAACCTCTCGGGATGGTTCATATTTACTCTCAGCAGTGGATGGTCAAGAAGGGATTGACTTTTTCCTATGAAGGTAAGGGCTATGGTGCGAGTTTTATAGACACAAATATCAATAAAACGGTCAGAAAAAGAAGCGATACTGATTTATTGAAATGTTTAGCCTGTTATTCCAACCTAGATTCTCAATAGTAATATTTTTAAAGCATGTGCATTTAATGATGGTATTTTGACAACCTAAGTACTGTATTTGACAGTGTCTTTTATTTCAAGGTACCACATAAAGTTTTCAAATAATAATTAAAAAAAACCCCAGCTGTCAGAAAATGAAAACTGGAAATGGCAATTAAACAACAGTTTGGCTTGATATACTGTAGCACCTTTCATACTTTTATCATCCTTCTTGTACAACTTTTAAAACATAGCTGAGCTCACAGTTTCCAGGGGAAACACCACTTCCCAGATTTTCAATCATATTTTACCACTATTAAAAATACTATGATTTAGTATTTTTATATACTTTCCTTTGGCACAATTAATTCAATGTGGAAAAAAAAACAAGTTTAAAAAGTAATCTGGTTCTTAGCAAGTTACAGATATGCAGTTTTTGTTGCTCTAAGATATAAAGCAAGTAACTGGCAGCGAGTAATGTGCCAGATAGAGGCTTCACAGAATCCGCAGGGGGCAGCTGAAAACACTCAGGTTTGAAGGTTCATAGTTTACCAAAAGCAAAGGTAATTTTAACCAGTAGCTCTGGGAAACCCATTGATACATTAGGGGTTTGATATGAGTGTGAAAGATTGATGATAAGGAAAAAGAAGTACAAATGCTGGCATTTTACAGAGTTTAGCCTAGTATAACACCTTAGCTGCAATATAAACTGAAGCCTCCGATGACCAGCAAGAACAACAAAGCAAAGAAATTACAGCATAAACTCTTCCTCACTGAATTCATATAAGATACCTAATGATGTAGACAATATTGTTATAATACATTAAGACCAGTTTGGTTCATGATATGAACCAAAAAAAAATTTGATTATTTGTAAGGCATTGCAATTAGAATGTTAGAGATTTTTTGTTTTGCAATTCATTGCTAGTAACAATAATAGATTTAACTAAAACATGCTCTCTTCCTCAATCTTTTAAATATAAGAACAAAAGAGGTCTTCATCATGAGTACTGATATTGAACAAGACTGTGATTTTTTTAACCTTGCAAACTTTGTTGAAGCAGTGGATGTGATATAGCTTAACCTTAAGCTAGGTATCTGACACAGCTTCCCAAGATGTTCTCATAAGAAAGCTAAGGAAATGTAGTCTAGTTGAGATTCCTATAAAACGAGTGCATACATCATTAAATAATCATGCTGAAAGAGTAGTCATCAACAGGGATCCGGATTTTTCGTTTCCCACAGAAAAACGGAGTAAACCATGGATTTTACCTTTTACCAGAAGCAAACGTGGATTTCTCATTTTACAAGAGAAACCCATGGATTTTACCATTTTGCAATGGGCTCCTTGCAGGCTGCTAGAGAGCAGGAGGAACGCAAAGAGACAGGGGGCGCCATGTGCATGGACAAGCACGTGGCTCCAGGCAGGCTGCAAAGCAGCTCCAGCAGGTAAGTGGGGGAGAGAAGGAGCTGGTCAGGGCTGAGGTGGGGCTTAGGGTGGGGCTTAGGGCCACAATGCATGGCTGCAGGGCCCCAGCAGGGAGCAGGACAGGGCTGTGGGTGGTTCATCCAGGGGAAGGGGAGGGTCAGCTCCTCGCTGCCATGCACACTCCTGGGGAGCAGGGGGAACCAGCGCCCCCCAGATCTGTACCCAGGACTGGTACAGGCTGCGGGCTTGGGCTCCCACCCTTCTTCCCTCCCCTCCCCTCCCCTGGGGCCTCGAGAGCCTGGTGAGAACCACCTGGTGCGGCTGGGGACAGCAGGGCTGTGCAAGGATCTCCTTGCCACTGCTTTCCCCCACCCCCCACCCCCACTGCCCTGGCAACGTGCCTCCAGAGACTGCCGCTGCTTTGAGGGGTGCAGCCCTGTGCCACTGCGCTCACTGAAGACCCATGCACAAGAGGTGCATCATCGGGGCAGTGGGGAGGGGGGCAAGCAGCGGGAAAGAGATCCCCATGCAGCCCCACTGTGCCCAGCCATGCTGAGTCATGCCCACCAGACTCCAGAGGCTGTGGGTGGAAGAAGCAGCGTGGGAGCTCAAGCCCACAGCCTACGCCTGCCCCAGGTACAGATCTGGGGGGCACGGGTCCCCCCTCCCTCTGGGAGTGTGCACAGTGGCGGGAGCCGCCCCACACAAGCCCCCTGCAGTGGGGAGTGGAGGCAGGGGACTGTGGACCCAGGTTCGTAGCCCTGGCAGCTGGGGGCCCCCTCCAGCAGGGCTGGGGGAGCAGGGGCTGTAGGTGGGGGGCGAGGGGCACCAGCAAGGCTGTTTGGGCTATGGGTGGGGAGTAAGGGGCACCATCAGGGCCAGGGGAGCTGGGGGGGTTCAATTTTAATCATGGATTTGGGGGGGGTTAGCAGAGAATTTGTGATTTTTTTTAATTCGGCAAAACCAGGATCCCTGGTCATCGATGGCTCAGTGTCAAAATAGGAGTAATTTTCCAGGTGTCTATTCTGAATCTGGTACTATTCAATAACATCATTAATTAGTTGGAAGACAGAACTGAATGTATGCTTACATAATTTAAGGAATATAGCAAGTTGGAAGGGGCTGCAGACATTTTATAGGATAGGTTAGTATTCAGGACAACTTTGATAAATTGGAAAAGTGGTCTGAAATAAATCAGATTAAATTCAGTATGGCCAAGTACAAAGGACTACACCTTGGAAGGATCAATCAAATGTACAGATATAAAATGGCGAATGACTGGCAGGGGGACTTCAGAAAAGGATCTGGGCTTTATAACAGATAGCAAGCCAAATGTGAGTCAGTGCAATATTGTTACAGAAAAGCCAAAAGCCTGCTGGGAGGTATTAATAGGAATATTGTGCGCAAGTCACAGCAAGCAATTCTTCCACTTCATTCAGCAATGCTGATGCTTCACGTCCAATATTGTGCCCAGTTTTGGGCACCTTACTTGAAGAAAGATGTAGATAAACTGGAAGGTGTCCAGAGAAAAGCAAAAAAGAGACAAATTATCTTAAAAACATAATACCTGAGGACAGGCTAAAAGAACTGGCATTATTTAGACTGGAGAAGAGGAGTATGTGAAAAGTGTTGAAACAGTAAAAGGGTTGTTATACAGAGGATGGGAATCGATTGCTTTTGGAGACCATAGGAAACAAGATAAGAAGTACAGGGTTTAGACTGCAACAAGGAAGATATAGGTTGAATCAAGGTAATTAAGTTTTGGAACAGATTACATAGAGAGGTGTGGAAGTCTGTAAATAGCAGTTAGATGAACATTTCCCTGGATGGTTTAGGTAGAGATGATCCTGCGCTGGTGCACGGGGTGGGACTCAATGACCTCTGAAGATGCCTTTTAGCCTTATTTTTCTATGATTCAGCATTTATAAATGCTGTTGCTGATTTACAGAGAACAGATCAAGTCAAACATATTAATTAGTAACATTTTTATGAGATACATATTTGGTTGCTAAAGGCAACAGAGTTAACATGTTGAAATTCTATGATCCTTTGATAATCAGGAGAACATAAAGTAGGATGTCTGTCGCATTTGGCACCAATATAACAGTTACTGGAATACTCTGTCCATTAATAGTGTCCATAATTCAAAGAACGGGAAAGATCAGAGAGGCTGCAGAGAAGAACCGTGAGTGTGATTAGAATATCACATAGTAAAAGACTCAAGAGCTCAGTCTACATCATGTATAAAAAAAATGATATGATCATCATTTATTTACACAGAAAACAAAAATTTGGTAACTGATGGTTCTAATGAACTACTAGAATAACAAACACTGTGGTACCACTGGCATCTTTTAAATCAAGACCAGACAGTTTCTAAGATAAACTCTTCTTCAACCGCACTTGGTCTATTTTATTAAGGAGTCAAACTAGATCACAGAGGTCCTGAAAATAAATCTATTAGATTGGTGTGTGCATGCTACGGGTAAGAACACACCAATTTCTTTTTGGATATTTGTTAATATCTATAATTTACATATTAAAGAACTGTATCTTTGATTTTTCTATTTTATGAACAGCCTCCAAACTGCTCCTCTAATGAAGGAGATGAATAAAGCCATAAATTACTGGCCTCAAACATAATATGAGATGGCTATCTGTGACAAATTATAGGCTGGTTGGTGGATCATATACACTCTGATCTGCTCCTGCCCACAAGAAAGAGAAAAGATTCTCCACAGGTCCTGAGATCCATATGCAAGGAGAGCAGGGTCAAGTGCATTTGTATCATCTTTTCTGTAGTCCACTTTGACTCTACATAACCCACTTTAATGGAAGTATATTGGAGTTCCTGACAGAAAAGTTTTCATGGTCAGTTACTGTGGTCTCAATGCAGAGGGTACTGCACTTTCAGTAGATCAAGGGATTTACAAGGAATGGAGACCATGCAGACCTTCCTCTCTGCCCCCAAGAGGGCACTCTAGCCATGCAAGTGACAACTGTCTGCTGTATGCAAAGAGCAAAGCAGCCACCAAAAACATGCCATGGAAGAATTGAAGGGTTATATTACCTTTATACTGAATTCTTCTTTTTATAGCTAAGCTTTATGAGCTGCCACCAAAGCCATTAATAGATTCTGCTTTTAAGATGTGCAGCTCTCTCTAGCTGGAATTCAGAAAGGAAAACAGAATGGCAGCATATTGAAATCAACATTAACTACCTATTTTTAAAACACAGGGTGATTCCAATATTACAGCTGTGTATTGGGAAGGAGGGAATTAAATGTCAGTACATCCATCAAAGGCCATAAAGAGAAATTAAGAAAGTGTGTCCTTGTTCTCAAGCATCTCTCTAGTCAGTGCAGATGCAGAAGAAGTTATATCTAATTCTGATACGAATGCATGCAGAGTTAAAAGAATACTAACTACCCATAGCCAAGCCTCTATAACTACTGCAACTTGTTTTAGGAGCTCTGTTTTGAAGTTTGAATATTTTGGCAAATGTAATTTATTTATTGGACTTTCTTCATAATTGACAGATATAATTGATAAGTATTGGAAATTTCTTCATATCTCTGAAAATCTGATTTTGCTTTGCTATTCACATATTTAAAAAGTAGATGAAAGATTAGCATATGGACAAAGCTCATAATTCCTGTAGTTGTAATTTCTTTTGGGCTACAAGGACTGTGGAAGGAAGTAGAGAGGAAAAAAAGGGTTACTTTCAAGGAAAGAGTCAAAGGAAACCATATCAGAGGTATCATGAGAAATCTTTTGTTGCTAAATATCAGTTGTATCAAGAATGTCATAAAAGTGATATGATAAATTAGTGTACTAACACTGGTGCTAAGTAGTAAGTAAAGTGCTCATGTGTTTCCAGTGTAGACTTACTTTAAATAAAAAAGTTCAGGATAATTTCCTGGGGTTGACTCTTCCCCAATGCTACCAACAAAATCCAGCTTTAAAATAAAATTGAGTTTAAAAAAAGGTATCTGTTTTCTTCTTCCCTGCTGATTTCTGTTTGTAAGAGAGGCCTTTAAAAGGATCCTTTTGAACCCTAGCTCAGTCTCCAAGCCCTGTATAACTGATGTCCTACGGTGAACCTAAAAATAAAGTACTGAAGCAATTGTTTTTCTTACCTATGTTTTTGATTTATAACTCAAAGGAACAGACCAACTGTCCCTGATTTGTGCTCCTCCTCTATGGCATGGTAGATTAGAAATTTACTGGTTTCTGCAAACACAGTAAAGTAATGTTTGTTCCCGCTGCAGCTTGTTCACATTGTTGTTTTGTGTACCATATTTTTTACAAGCATTAGCAGACCCTAATCTATGATGAGCAACATGAAAGAAAACCATAATACTGCCTGAACCAGTCACTAACATACTACGCCAGCAAGTACTATAATACTCTTCAGTGACACAGTGATCTACAAAATCTCAGGTAGGAACTTTACGGATTAAATTTGAACTCCAGAAAAAGGAAACCAAGCAAAGAACATTCCCTCCATTCTCCTCATTTTTTTTAATATGAAATAACATAGATTCCCTCAGCTAATTTATGGCACGCCTGCCAAAAAGATTGGCCCTCCTTGGTCTAGATACTTTATGTTGTCTAGAGATAAATTCACCATCCATTTTTCAGGATGTCTTTGAGTTGGATTCATGAAAATTCTGCAGGATCTCGCACTTCTAATACATTTAAGATTTTGGATTCAAAATATGCACCTGTACAAAAGGTTTATAGTACTTATATACCTAATATAACACATAACCATTTAACTCTACTAGAAGTAGTAAGACCCTTCCCCACAACTTTCTCTCTTTAAAAGGTACTGATTACTCTATTAAGAGCTATTCCTCTTCACATTATTCATATTCAGATACAACAGTATCTGTTGCGCAGCTATGACTATGTTTTTAGAGGTCCATTTAATCTCCCTAGATTCCAGATCTCCTCAAATGATATTCACAAGATAGGGATTCCCTGAGAATGCCTTTGGTATAGATAATTTAAACACTTTCCATGTACTATCCAATTTCCATCACAAAGGGAATCATGTGTTTTCATTTTTATAATTTTTAGAATTCAAAAAATATTTTTCTTTTCATTCCTTTTTTAAAAGGAGAAAAAAATGCCTGTATTTTATAGAGTTACATCCTAAGGACCTCATCTCATTCATCCTAGATTGTTATAAGGAAATTTGTCTTCAGATGGGAAGACTGCAAATACCGGACATGATGATACAAATATTTTGTAAAGCACAATTAAAATAAGTGTAATTTTGTGTTTGCAGAACCCTGTAAGAGGGTAGAATTTCTGTGCTCAACATGTAACTTTCCCAAACTAGCTTGCTACTATGTAACCAATTTTTCCCATATGACTTTGACTTCCCATATAATTTATCCAAATCCCAGCTAATTTAGAATAAAATTAGATAACTAGATTCAACACATGGAAAATAATAAATCTGTTATAACTTTCCATATATGGAAACTAGTTATCGAAAGGTCATCTTAGATTCATTCCCCCACTGCTGCAGTGGGGAAAGCAGCAGCAGTGAATAAGCAGGGAAAGCAGGGGCGGGGGTGGAGGGCAGGCAGCCTGTACCCTGTCCTTATGCCATTTGTCCCACTTCTTGTGCCTGTATCCCCTGGTGTCATCCTCCCTGCCACTTGCCTTCCCTGGCCAAAGGTCCCCAACCTTCCCCCCCAGGACCTGGCCCCCACTCCCACTTACCTGATGTGGTGGCTCTGACTTCAGCTTTGGCCAGGGTCCAGAGCACACAGTGGCTCCAGCCCTGACCAGGCAGAAGCCGCAGCAGCAGCCCAGGCCCCAGCCCCAGGTTGGGGCCAGAGGTGGAGCCGAAGCAGCTCCTCTACTGGTCTGGTCTCTCCCCTTCTACTCTCCTGCGACCATACAATCTCCCTGCACTCCCCCACTCTGCATCATGCAGTTTCCCCATGCTCCCCAATTTTCCTCACCATGTGGTCTCCTTGCACTCTCCCTGGACATTGAGCAGTCTCCATGAACTCCCTACCTTCATGTGGTCTCCCCACAGTCCCTCCACCCATCCCTGCATGATCTTCCCACACACCTTCCCCACCATGAGGTGTCCCCATCCTCCCTCCACCCCACCCCATACAATCTCCCTGCACTCATCCCACCCACCCCACCCCCAGTGTAATTTCCCAACACTCTCTCTGCATCACAAAGTCTCCATCAGGTCAAGATCAGAGTTGGGGTCAGCACCACAGCAGCTACTTGCCCTGAACTGTACTTGAATTTAAGATGAGAACTCCCCCCCCCGGTGTTGAATGTTGCTTCAAATTTTGTTTTTATTCTGTTTGAACACAGGAAACAGCTAACTTCTATTTGTCTCCATGAAATGCATCAGATTTTCTATGATGGCGAAATGTAAATTTATACATGATTACAATGTGTTCCAACAGTAGATTAAAAGTTATGTGCAGTCTCTACCATTGATGCAATTCAATATCATTGTTGTTATATCTCTATAAAGCACTGTTTCAATAAGGATGATTTGATATATAAAGACGATTTGATGTATTAAATGATCCAAGGGCAAAAGAACAAGAAACTTGAGTTTTAAACAGACCTGCAATGTAGTTTCCTAAGCTTTGCCTACAGTGGTTGCAAAGTGTTAACACAACTAAACAAAAATCAAGTATGCACGCACAATGTTATTTTATTACTTGCTAAAATGAAGTATTTTTTCACTAAAATCTTACCTAAAGAATGTGCAGCTGTGGTTTTAGAACTGAAAAATCGTCCAAGACCAAGGTCTCCAAGCTTTACTACCCCTGTTGCCGTAATGAAAACATTAGCTGGCTTTATGTCTGAGAAGAAAAACATATTTTGCAGTAAGTTAGCAATAAAAATATAAATTGTCTATAATACATGTAAAGAGCCATTTATTTTGGTGTGAAGTTAGCCAAGTACGGCAATAGCTTCTAGAATACTTTGTAACTAATTAATAAAGGTATATTTAGGAATTTTTTAAACATTCAAATTAACTTTATTTTGAAATGGTATAAATATGAAGCAATTTAAGCAAAAAAAAATATTGAGCAAAGAAAAGCATAACAATAAAATAATCCTAAATATGAAACAATAGCATATGTATAGTCTGACAACAGCTCTATGACACATTCCTTAGTGTTATCATACTACTGCTTTACATTTTAAATATCACACTACGAAACCTTACAATCCATTTCTATTACTTTGCCTGATCAGATTGCACGTCGCCACGACATATATATAAAATAAACAAACAATTTTCTGGAATAGCAGAAATGTACTTTTCAAAAAGTTTCATTAAGGAGAAAAACAATTTGAACTCCTTCAGTAGAACTAGGCTAATAAAACGTAATAAAAAAGGATGTTATATATCCCACGCAGTTATATTTTGCAAACAGCATTCAATCAAAACCCCAACTCTAGACTTTGCTGTACAATTTGGGGATAACATTTTTATAAATGGTACTTAATCCTAGCCTCCTAACAACCTAAAATTTACCTTATCTTTATACAGGTTGAATGTTCCCAGCACAGGCTGCTCAAAAGTTTTGAGCTTGAACTGATAACCCTAATTACCCTGCTCTGAGTTTTTCTTTTTACCTGAAATTTTATGCACATTTAACTTTTTTCTGGAACCCTGGGAAATGTTACCATTTAAAGGGTTAGTAACGGAGTTATTTAGACTTATCCTATTTTGTCATATAACATGTGCCAGCAAATGAGAGACGCACCTTTTTTCTCGGAAGGCAAAAACTAAGAAAGAAAAAAAAAAGATTTCTTCAGTCATGGCCTACAGCCAGCTTTTTCATGGAGAGGCAGTGTTGCAAGATGACTGCCAGGTTCTTTCTGTGACAAGCAGAAGAGATGAAGTTCAGTGTTGCCTACTCAGTCAAAAACTAGCTTATTTGACAGTGACCATAAGAGGGTTAACACTGGACTCTGCCCCTCCTGTATCCTACCTGAAAGAGAAGCTGGCAGCCATCTTACAGCAAATTAAAAATCACATTCCCTGCTTAAGCTATTTGGGGGTTGATTTTTGGTGAAAAATTTTGAGGGTTGATTTTTGGGGAAAAGGGCTCATGGGGCATGTGAGTAAATATGGTATTTAAGATTTTCATGAGATGAAATAAAATGTGATCAGAAATTATACTTCCACGCAGTTAGTAATTTCAGATATTTGGTCTTTAATGCGCATGCATGCATGCTAAAAAAGACAAACAGATCATACAAATTAGCTCTTTGCACAGGCAGCTGGGTCTACTGCATGAAACCAACTATGCATCCCAAGCCATCATAGAATTAGGTAAAGATCTGAGCTTCTATCTGCATATTTGGATCTCGGCAATATATAGCCACCTAGAAAGAGGTGGAATTTAAGAATCACTCACAAAGCATTCTGGCTAGGGACAAACATTACACATAAACTGGTTTAAGTGATCACAAACTGGTTTAAACCTGGAAAGAGATGTTCAGTGAACATAAACCAGTTTGAAAATGGCTGAAACCAGTATGAGATAAAACTGACTGAATGTAGTATCAGACTGAACTGATTTGGGTCAAACTGGTTTATGCAATGTATGTTGCAGACCCCTTCCTGGTTTAAGTTAAAAAAGATTCTCGCAGCATCCTAGCATGCTCAAAAAAGGTTCTCTGCTCCGCAGCAGAGCTGGCTCCTCCCCTGTGCTCCCTGGCTGGAGCTCCAGCAGACACTGGAGGCGTCTGCCTGGCTTCCCCCTTCCCCCACCCTCCTCACCACTTCCTGCTAAGCAGGGATTCCCCCCTCCCCTCTGCCTTACACAGACACCTCTCAGCACTGGCTAGCATAACACATGCTGGCTAGGGCCCATGCTGTGGCAGACAGGACAAAGGCAGACAGCTCAGTTTCCACTTAGGGCTTTTTGGAGCTAATAAACAAGTAGCTGGTAATGTCCCTCCATTCCTTCCTTGGAAAAAGTTGTTTAAAAAGAGCTTGAACTAATAAGAGAGGCTTTGTTTTCTGATGGGGTGATAAATGCTGATAACAGCGCTGATAAATGCTCTGTTATCAATGGGGGAGGAGACCCTTCCCTAATCAGAGCATCCTGTAGGGGCCTGGCCATGACCCCCCCCCAAACTCAGTGCTGTTAAAGTGAAGGGAGAGCTGCTCTAGTGCCCCCCGGCTTCTAGCCTGAGGCACTGCAGGCAGGTGCCAGCATTTCCTCAGTCCATAGGGTATGTCTGTATGGTTACAAACCAGTTTAGTCTAGCAGGTTAGACTAACCTGTAAAGACTGAATCAATTCAGGCTCAGGCTTTTTCAATGTCTATCCCTAGCCTCTAGATGCCACTTGTGTCCTTCTTTGCCATCTCTATTCCCATTTCTTTGGCCCAATGAAGGGGAAATGGAGATGTTGTGAGAAGAAGCAGAGAGGGTTAACATGGGTAAGAGACATTCCATCTCTCATAGGAGCAACTGAAAGCTACAAAACTTGATAATATGGTTTTAGCAGTGGAGAGGAATAAAGGAATGTGACAGCATAAACTGTGCAAGTAAGGAAACTTAGTGAGTATATCAGTGAAAGGATGCATAGGAGAAAATGTACGTGTCTGAAGAAAATGAGAGTTTGAGAGGAAAGAAAAAAGCAATCATGAGCAAGGTGGCAGAGAATGAAGGTAAAGAGACCTGAGGATCCAAGGGAGGAAATAGGAGAAGAGATGGGATGAGAAATAGGAGTTAGCAGATGGAATGGGGGAAGTAAGAAGGAGAAATGTTGGCAAGGTCTCAGGCACCTAAAGCCCTATCACTTATTTTGAACACTAAACACCAAGTCGCTATTTGGCACAAAATGCTAAATACCAAATATTGCACAGGAGCATTGTACACATGATGGTCCAGGAAATGTTTAGGAAGAATATTTTACATCTGTTATTAGGTAACTGTATACAGATATAACAAAACAAAATCCTCTCCCAGCATAGCAAGTCACAACACCCCTATGGCATGCCTTTCAAAGTAAAGGATTTAATTTTTTTAAATAAAATAGCATGACTGTATTTGGTATCATTCAGAATGATATCCCAAGTGCTCATATCTTAAATACTTGTTAGAGATGTGATATTATTACCTCTATGCATGACACGACGAGAATGCATGTGTTCCAGTGCACTGCAAAGCTGAACAAAGTACTTCCAAACTGTCCTTTCAGGAATCAACCTCTTCTGTTTCTTAAAATGCTTTATAACAAAGACAAAAAGAGAAGTACTAAAGACTCAATTCTGGATTTGTACAAAACAATAAAGTATGAAAACAGGAAACTCCTTTAAAACTGTTAGGATGAAAAGTTCACTTTACCTAAATGAAAGTTTCTAGAATTATTTCCTAATGTGGACAGCACAACCAAAATTTTAAAAACACAATTTCAGCAGCAGAGAACATATATTAAACACACACATGCAGATGCTGCATTTAATATCAACTACTTAAATAAATCTACAATTCTAACCAGAGTTTACATGGTATTTAACAAAATAATACTATTCCAAGAATAAAAAGCTTTACTGTGGGGCAGTATGATGTAGTGCACAATGAGCGTATCAATGACTGGGTGAAGGCAATATACAAGAAAAGCTCCTATAGACATTCCCAAAATAAAGGTGTGCTTTACCAACACATGAATTTCTATAGGTTCCAATTTCAATGAGCTTAGATGAAAGAAAAATACTGAGAACATGCATTCATAAGTATATTTTAGAAGCCCTGAAAATAGTGAAACTAAGAATACAAAAATATTTCTAAAGATTTAGATAACTTCAATCAATCAGTTTCTCCATTCTGTTACCTGTTAAACAGGTACAGTAGTCGTAGTTTAAGGTATTGTTATAGCTTAAGAAAAACTTAACATTCAACTATATAAATCTATTTCGAATATGGTATTTCAAGATGGCATAACTGCAGTGTTTTCCATTATTTTATATTAAGAATCTGTAACAGCCAGTTTAAAAAAAAATGCATGTTTGAGTGTTAAGTTTTGCAGGCATGAGTCAAAGGGCTAAAACAAAAATTGTTTCCTAGAGGTCTGTAGCTTGTCTTTTCTATAAGAAGGAAGATAATCCGTACATACCTTATAAACCATTTATTAAAATACACATACCAATATAAAATCAGTATTACATTTGAAAGAAAGATCATTTACAGAATAGTTATCAATGCTATAGGAAAAGAGATGTTTTGTTCTGTTCATTATTTTAAAATAAGCCACTTGGGCTGCATCCCAAAACAAGAAACATACATAGGAGAAACAGAAAGGTATTTTAAAACTAACCTGAGTAAAACACACTAGAGCTATATGAAGTCAACATTCTACCCAAAATAGTAATTTTAGTTGTAGACAATATTATGCATTTTATTCAAATGATCCTAAGCTTATAATTCATTTATTTAAATATAATTTTCACACAGACTTGGATTGAATCCAAACAGACCCTGTGTATCTGTTCTCCCCATAGCTAGATTTGCATATCAGAGGATTGTTTGATGTCAACAGGAAGATGGGGACCAGGTTTCTTTTCATTTAAAAACAAATACAGAATACCATGTAAGTATATGCATATGAAAGCATACTTCCTTGATTTAAAATGCATTCTGAAATCACTATAATTAAACTATGTACTTTAAAAAACATCTTCCAAATGTTTAAACTGAACTTTAAAGCATTGCAATGGTGAAAAACTGCTCACAAAATGTCTGCATCTTTTCCATTATGAACTTTAAAGTGAAACATAATGTTTGTAAATACGAATTTCCTTTCAACATTTCATTCATTTGCCATCTGTAATTTTGTAGCACAGCATACACAAAATACCAGAGAAACTGCTTCAGTGTTTCAGTGATTTAAGCATTCCAGTCATCCACATAAATATGGAGGATATTCAGATCCTACTGAAAGCCTGCAACTTTTACATGACATTAAACAAATTTCTCTTAGGTCATCAGTAATATTCACTTGCTACAAATGTAAACTTTTAATTTATTATTCATGTTAAGAGGATGTCACAGAGAACTGTTAAATTTGTTCCCACTGTTTAATGAAGCATTTAATTCACTACAGAAATAGGTAATATTTCATAACCCAATTAATTTTAAATCAATCTATATAAAATTACTGGGAGGGATTATCATACTTTTTGTCTCATGCAAATTCTTAATCTTTCCTTGTTTTGTGCTGCACAAAGAAGCAAAACAATGGTGGAAAGCTAGAGCTGTTAAAGCAGGCTGGTTCTGCAAAGAAACAGATCTCCAGCCAAGTAATGTGTTTTCAGGGAGTAACAGAGGGAGACTTTGGCTTCTGAGGAGAGGGGAAAAAAGAAAATACACCATAAAATAAATCTGTTCTTGACTTTACTTTTCACCCCAATTTGTAACAAGGTATTTTTATGTTAATACAATATAATCAAATTTGTAACATATATCTTATGCTGGAAAGTACCATTTTAAGTCTAAACACATATACAGTTCCTTCCATTTTTATCTTGCCTTTTCATCACTTTAAAAACACTCAGTGAAAAAAATGCAATTGTTCTGATGGTGGTGCTATTGGCCATCTCCTACGGCAGGGCTGGTCAACCCACAGTGATGGTGTCACAAGTATCTCAGGCAACCTTGGTGTGTGGCATGTAGCAGATAGGACAGCACACAAACAGCAGAGCATCAGATCAGACAGGGAGCACAAGGCAGGGGACAGAAAGCAAAGACACAGCTAATGGGGCTCCCAGACATAGGGGTGCAGTGAAGCCCTGGACTCCAGCTGCACCCCAGCAGCTGGGGCCTTGACCTGCCTGCTCCCAGTCAAGGGGATGTATCTAGGGTGAACCCTGACATCCACAGAATACAGAACATCCCCTTGGTGAGGGATGGGCCCTGTTGGCCAATCAGCAGTGAGGGGTAGGGCTGCCGTCTCCACAGCCAATAAGCTGCCAGGGGTGGGGCCATTGGACTCCTTGGCCAATCAGCAGCAATGGGCATGGCCATCTCCCTCCCTGGCTGGGAACCCTGGTTGTGGCTTCTTGACTCCAATGGGCCCCTAAGGTTAGCTGCTCCAATCAGCCTGGCCACACATTCAAATAATGATGTGACATGAACAAGGCGTAAAGTTATTACAATGTGTAATAGTGTGTAATAATTCTGTGGCTTATTCCTTCTTTTGTCATACCATTTATTGCATTAATGTGTTGCCAGGTAACTACTTAAGATGTGATTAACAGCTTAATGTAAAGGTGCTCCAATATGTCAGTTCATATCAGATGGGCAACAATAAAAGGAAAATTGACATCAACAGCAATCAGCTTTTTTTCGCTGGTGTAGCTGATAATGTCACCGATAAATGCCGCGTGCATGCACTCAGCCACAGCATGAGGTGAAGGGGAAGGGGTGCAGATTGAGACCCCCCGCATCATGAGGGAGGGAGAGAAGCCAGGGGAAGGCACTGCCCAGCCAGGGCAGAGCACAGGACGGAGCCACAGGCAGCTTGTTCAGGGGTCGTAGGAGGGGGTGGTGGTAAGACGGCTGTCTCCCCACCACTGCATGCACCCCTGGGGGGGAGGCATGGAGGGCATGTGTCCCCGCAGATTTGTGCATGAGGTAAGGACAGGCTGCCCGCTGAGAGCTCAGGGCCAAAGGCTGAGTTGGCCTCTTCCCAGCAGGGGGACTGGGCTAGGGCTGCATTCAGGATGAGCAGGGGCAGGCAGGGCAGCGGTGGCACTGAGAGGGGTAGCTACAGGGTGGGCTACAGCCACCCCAGAATTCCCCACAGTCACCACTCCCAGAGCCACCACCCACCCTACCCCTACCAATTCCAAGCACAGTCCTGCCCCAAGCCCCACTGGGAAGAGGCTGGCACAGCCCCTGACCCTGAGCCAGCACCAGGCAGCTCATCCTGCCCACAAATCTACCCATGCCTCCCCCAGGGGTACATGCAGCAATAGGGGAGCCCCCCTTTGCACTCCCTCGTGACTCCCGAACCAGCTGTCCGTGGCTTCATCCCACGCTCCAGCCCACCCTGGAGGGATGTCACATGCATCAGCATCCCCACACTGAAAAATGGCGACAGAGGTGCTTTAACTAAAGCTCACCGTATGAGCTTTAGTTAAAGTGCCCCACCACCTTTTTTAAGTTCAGGGAGGCTGATACACATGACACTGGAGTCTGCTGGAGTGTGGTGATTATCACGCTCCAGCAGACTTGAATAATCGATTAATCAAGTCTGCTTCAACACGCTGTACAGTACATCGGAGAAGCCTCCTTGCACATGTATAGGCACCCATACTGTCCTTTCTTTAGCAGTATTTGGTGGAGTGCAACTGCCACAGTATGAGCACGAGTGAAAATCCTTCTTGAGGAAGAAACTTAAGCTTAATGCTATGGAAAAAAGGAAGACAGAATGGATACATTTGAAGAAGTGGATGAAATAGAGTAATAAGCAAAGAAGTTCTCAGCAAGAAAACTAGGAGTGCACCAATAGATATTTTTTGGGCTGATACTAATGGCTGATTTTTAACAAGCTATATTGGCTGATACCTATACTATTGCCGATATGCAACCAGGCAACTTGGAGAGCAGTGTCCAGCTGGTAAGTCTGTTAGAGGGGAAGGGGCACAGGGAGGAAGGGGCATGGAGGAAGGCAGATCGAGGTCTCTACAGTGAGGGAAGGAGTAGGGCTGGGGCAGAGGCAGGGGCTGTGCAGCCAGGGCAAGGCATGAGACGGAGCTGCAAGGGGCTAATCTGGGGGGCACGGTGACTCCTGGCAGGGTGCAGGGCTGTGCTCAGAGAGGGTGGTGGCAGTGCTGGGAGGGAAACTACAGGAGGGGCTGCAGCTACCGCAAAATTTGCCGTAGCCTCCACAACCACCAACTCCCAGTGCTGCCACCGCCCGCCCCAAGTGCAGCCCTGCCCAACATCACTTCCAGGAAGAGCCTGGGGCCACCCCCAGCCCCAGCAGCAGCCTGTCCTCACCCCATGCACAGATCTGAGGGCACATGCCCCCCATGACCTCCTGAGGTGCACGTAGCAGCAGGAGCTGCTCCCCTCCATGCCCAGCTCAGTCCCACGCCCCGCCCCACCCTGGCTAGGCAGCACCTGCCCCTGCCCCAGACCCACTCCCTCCCTCACCTTGGGGGCCTTGGTCTGTCCCGCCCACGCCCTTTACCTCCCCCCTTGCCCCTTCCCCCACAACAGACTT